CGTCAGAATCTGAGTCGACTTCATCAATTAGGGACTCTTGACTAAGCTGCACAAACAACAAATAATTTGTAATAATTCTATATAACAATTTGAAGTCATGACTTGTAGTCAGCACTTACCAGTGGTTTGTAAGCGTGCGCTTCAGTGTGCTGCTCTGTGATTGGCTGCAGCCTAATGAACCACACACTTGCACCTTTTCTAGCCTGACACCTGACTTCCTCTGTTGTGCTGCTCCATGATTGGCTCCAGCCTCTGTTGTGCTGCTCCATGATTGGCTCCAGCCTCTGTTGTGCTGCTCCATGATTGGCTCCAGCCTCTGTTGTGCTGCTCCATGATTGGCTCCAGCCTGCTGGACTGAAATTGCCCCAGTGTGCCCCTCCCTGATATCCCGCAACCCACCACCAGGGTTCCGACACATAACACACTTTTTTCAGGGAAGTAAACCTCCAGGGGTCCTTTCCATATTTTTTACAGAGACTGCATAAGGACCGTTAGAAAAGCATTACCCATTGATTATTAAGCTTGGACCAGTGGGGTCCGGTGTTCGGGCCCCACCACGTAAAACCAGTCCCCATGACGTGAGTGGAATCTCAGGTTATGGAACCCACCAGGAGTTGAAAACAAGTGCACACAGACACACAGACCCACACACACACACACACACACACACACACATACAGTGTACGTACACACACACACACATACAGTGTACGTACACACACACACACACACACCCACATACAGTGTACGTACACACACACACACCCACATACAGTGTACGTACACACACGTGTACACACACACACACACACACACGTGTACACACACACACACACACACACATACAGTGTACGTACACGTACACACACACACACACACATACGCACACATACACACACACACACACACAGAAACACAAACACAGTTTTCATATAATGTATTTTTGAGGCCTTGGTCTGGCCTCTCTAAGTCTCGTAGATAGATCAGAGCAGTGAGGTCCCCACAGCGTCACATTGGTCTGGTTTATACTGTGTAAAACACAGTCAGGGTCTATGAGAAAGACCAGAGAGAGACCAGAGAGATAAACCAGAGGGAGATCAGAGAGAGACCAGAGAGATAAACCAGAGAGAGACCAGAGAGAGAGACCAGAGAGAGAGACCAGAGAGAGATCAGAGAGAGACCAGAGAGAGACCAGAGAGAGAGACCAGAGAGAGACCAGAGAGAGAGACCAGAGAGAGATCAGAGAGAGACCAGAGAGAGAGACCAGAGAGAGATCAGAGAGAGACCAGGGAGAGATCAGAGAGAGATCAGAGAGAGACCAGAGAGAGAGAGACAAGAGAGAGAGAAAGACCAGAAAGACGGAGACCAGAAAGAGACCAGAGAGAGAAAGATGAGAAAGAGAGACCAGAGAGAAACTATCACAGAGCAAAGATCTGGAACGTTGTAACAGTTTCCTGGTGTCCTGCAGGACATGGACTGGGTGCAGACGGAGAAGCACGTCTTTGAACAGGCCTCGACAAACCCTTTCCTGGTCGGGCTGCACTCCTGCTTCCAGACGCCCAGCAGGTACATCTGAGCCAAAATGTCTGTCCATCTGAGCCAAAATGTCTATCCGTCTGAGCCAAAATGTCTGTTTATCTGAGCCAAAATGTCCTGTTCATCTGAGCCAAAATGTCTGTCCATTTGAGCAAAAATGTCTGTTCATCTGAGCCAAAATGTCTGTTCATCTGAGCCAAAATGCCTGTTCATCTGAGCCAAAATGCCTGTTCATCTGAGCCAAAATGTCTGTTCATCTGAGCCAAAATGCCTGTTCATCTGAGCCAAAATGTCCTGTTCTCAGCTCCTGTCCATGTTCTGGTAGTTTGTCACACACTCACGTTTGTTTTTCAGTCATTTAAGGCGTTTTCACCACAGGGAAGAGTCAAAAGAAACGTTTCACTTTCAAAATGAGTCTTTGAAAGTCACCCGGACTCGAAAGACACCAGAGAGAGACCAGAGAGAGAGACCAGAAACAGACCAGAGATGAACCAGAAAGAGACCAGATAGAGAGAAAGAGATTTGGGAAGTTAGTTACATACAGTATATAAACCAAACTCTGAAGTCAGAGCTTCATTCATTCAATCTCTCTCTGTGTCTCTCCCTCTGTGTCTCTCCCTCTGTGTCTCTCCCTCTGTGTCTCTCCCTCTGTGTCTCTCCCTCTGTGTCTCTCTCTCTGTGTCTCTCCCTCTGTGTCTCTCCCTCTGTGTCTCTCCCTCTGTGTCTCTCTCTCTGTGTCTCTCTGTGTCTCTCCCTCTGTGTGTCTCTCTGTGTCTCTCCCTCTGTGTGTCTCTCTCTCTGTGTCTCTCCCTCTGTGTGTCTCTCTCTGTATCTCTCCCTCTGTGTCTCTCTCTCTCTCTGTGTCTCACCCTCTGTGTCTCTCCCTCTGTGTCTCACCCTCTGTGTCTCACCCTCTGTGTCTCTCCCTCTGTGTCTCTCCCTCTGTGTCTCTCTCTCTGTGTCTCTCCCTCTGTGTCTCTCCCTCTGTGTCTCTCCCTCTGTGTCTCTCTCTCTGTGTCTCTCTGTGTCTCTCCCTCTGTGTGTCTCTCTGTGTCTCTCCCTCTGTGTGTCTCTCTCTCTGTGTCTCTCCCTCTGTGTGTCTCTCTCTGTATCTCTCCCTCTGTGTCTCTCTCTCTCTCTGTGTCTCACCCTCTGTGTCTCTCCCTCTGTGTCTCACCCTCTGTGTCTCACCCTCTGTGTCTCTCCCTCTGTGCAGGTTGTTCTTGGTGATAGATTATGTAAACGGAGGAGACCTGATGTTCCACATGCAGCGACAGAGGAAGCTACCAGAGGAACATGCAAGGTACAACTATATGAGACCAGACAGACCAGAAAGACCAAAGAGACCAGAGAGACCAGAGGGACCAGAGAGACCAGAGGGACCAGAGAGAGACCACAGAGAGACCAGAGGGAAACTAGAGCGACCAGAGAGAGACCAGAAAGACCAGAAGGACCAGAGAGACCAGAGAGACCGAGGGACCAGAGAGACCAGAGGGACCAGAGACCAGAGGGACCAGAGAGAGACCAGAGCGACCAGAGAGAGACCAGAGAGACCAGACAGACCAGAGAGAGACCAGATAGACCAGAGACACCAGAGAGAGACCAGAGAGACCAGAAAGACCAGAGGGACCAGAGACCAGACAGAGCAGAGAGAGACCAGATAGACCAGAGAGACCAGAAAGACCAGAGGAACCAGAAAGACCAGAGACACCAGAGAGAGACCAGAGAGAGAGACCAGAGAGACCAGAGAGAGAGACCAGAGACAAACCACTGAGACAGACCAGAGAGAGACCAGAGCGAGACACCAGCAAGACCAGAGAGAGATAACTGAGAGACCACAGAGACCAGAGAGGGAGAAACAGGGAGTCTACACATGCAGAGCAGCATGTTAATCACACTCCTGCATATTCATGAGGTCTCCCCCCACTCCCCCGCCTCCCCCTTCTCAGCGGGGGAGGCTCAGCAATGCACTATCAATGTCAAAGCTGCAGGTTAAACAGCTAATGGTTCTTGAGGGGGGGGGGGGGGTGCCCCAGGGGGAGGGGAAGCATTATAATCTCTTTGGAGCATCAGAGGAAGGAAAGTAATGCAGATCCAGACGTGTGCGATGGAGACCAGTTCCTACAGACCATGTGTGTTATCAGGACTATGTTTGCTCCTTCATTTATGGTACGGGTTTACAACTTTAGTGCCAGAGAAGACGGTGCTAGGGTCTGGCATGTGAGGACCAGAGAGAGCAGAGGAAGGCCACTGAGAGACCTGAGAGAGAACAGAGAGAGAGACCTGAGAAAGACCAGGAAGACCAGAGAGAAACCAGAGAGAGAGAGAGACAAGAGTGAGATACCATGGAGAGACCAGAAGATCAACACAACCTACTCTGGGCCTCACAAAGTCGCAGTTCTTTTGTTGTATTTTGTAAGTTATGACAACTTTAATATAAAATGTTGTAATTGATGTGTGTGTGTGTATGTCCATGTGTGTGTTTGTGTATGTATGTGTGTGTGTGTTCTTGTATGTGTCTATGTGTGTGTGTGTAGGTTCTACGCAGCTGAGATCTGCATCGCTCTGAACTTCCTGCATGAAAAAGGCATCATCTACCGTGACCTGAAGCTCGACAACGTTTTGCTGGACCATGACGGCCACATCAAACTGACTGACTACGGCATGTGCAAGGTACTTACACAGTCCCCATAACTCCAGGGCTTTAAACACACTTTATACCAGGACCCCACTAAACCGGGACCTCAGCCAGGTCCTCATAACATTGGACTGTACACTCTTTAAATCTAGTCATCACAAAACCAGGAGCGTACACACGTTAACCATCGTCCTCACAAAACCAGGACTTTACACACTTACACACATCAGGAACTCACTTCAGAACTTGAAATCTCTGTTCAAAAACGGCCAATTCTTAACCGTTTAGTTTAGTGTTTTAATTATGTTTTTTATTTTTATTTTGTCCTTCCTTTGAGTGTCCAGAGAATACAAATAATGTATCATTACTATTCATTATTAAACAAGGTCCCCACAACACCAGGACCTTAAACACACACTTTTTACCTGGTTTGTATTTGGTAGAATAGTTTGAACGGATATTGGTATTTAAGTTGCTGCTAATATTAATGTTGCTGCTTTTAATGTGTGTGTGTGTGTGTGTGTGTGTGTGTGAATTGTGTATGTAATTAAACTTTATTTTGTAATCTTTATTTATATACTGCCTTTCACAGACCAGAGTCACAAAGCTGTTTACAATTAAAAGAGATGGGAGCGGTGTGTGTGTGTGTGTGAGATGTTATTATATAAGACTTTCTAACAATGTCTGGTACTTTTAATTATATATTTTTAAAAACAGTTTTCAACTAGAGGTATTGCCCTGTTAGTGGGGTACCATCAATGCTCTGTACGGCCATGGTCCCCACTTTACCAGCCGCTCACACACACACTTTCTGCTCTCTCTGCAGGAGGGCATCCGGCCTGGAGACACCACCAGCACCTTCTGTGGAACACCCAACTACATCGCCCCTGAGATCCTGAGAGGAGAGGACTATGGTGAGACCTGAGAGAGACCAGTGACCAGAGAGAGACCGGAGAGAGGCCAGAGATAAGCCAGAGAGAGACCAGAGAGAGATCAGTGACCAGAGAGAGGTCAGAGAGAGACCAGAGAAAGTTCTGCGCTCTCTCTTCTGTCTGGATTCTGTGCTCCCTCCTCAGTCTGGCTGTGTGCTCTCTCTTCAGTCTGGCTGTGTGCTCTCTCTTCAGTCTTGTTGTGTGCTCTCTCTCTGCAGGCTTCAGTGTGGACTGGTGGGCCCTGGGCGTCCTTATGTTTGAGATGATGGCCGGACGCTCGCCCTTCGACATCATCACAGATAATCCGGACATGAACACGGAGGAATATCTGTTCCAGGGTAAGGATACCAGAAAGACCAGAGACCAGAGAGAGACCAGAGAGAGAGACCAGAGAGAGAGACCAGAGAGAGAGACCAGATAGAGAGACCAGAGAGAGAGACCAGAGAGAGACCAGAGAAAGACCAGAGAGAGAGACCAGAGAGAGACCAGAGAGAGACCAGAGAGAGACCAGAGAGAGAGACCAGAGAGAGACCAGAGAGAGAGACCAGAGAGAGAGACCAGAGAGAGAGACCAGATAGAGACCAGAGAGAGACCAGAGAGAGACCAGAGAGAGAGACCAGAGAGAGAGACCAGAGAGAGCGACCAGAGAGAGACCAGAGAGAGACCAGAGAGAGAGACCAGAGAGAGACCAGAGAGAGAGACCAGATAGAGAGACCAGATAGAGAGACCAGAGAGAGAGACCAGAGAGAGAGACCAGAGAGAGACCAGAGAAAGACCAGAGAGAGACCGGAGAGAGACCAGAGAGAGACCAGAGAGAGACCAGAGAGAGACCAGAGAAAGACCAGAGAGAGACCGGAGAGAGACCAGAGAGAGAGAAGAACTTCCACTAAAGACTGTATTATTATCCTGTATATCTGACTCTGTAACTCACTCTCTCGGCCAATCAGCTCTCAGCCAATCAGCTCTCAGCCAATCAGCTCCCAGCCCAAAGAGGCAGATAGAGACTCACAGGGATCTTTCTGATTTGTTCACAACATTTGACTTAAAGACTCTTTTTGTCAGACAAACAAAGAGTGTATCGTTCCTAAGTGTGTGTCTGTGTCGTCACTCGCTGCAGATGTTGTGATGATTGTGCGTCTCACATGGTGCGGTGTAAAGAGTGTGTTGTTTTGCAGTGATCCTGGAGAAGCCCATCCGCATCCCGAGGTCTCTGTCGGTGAAGGCGGCCAGCGTGCTCAAGAACTTCCTCAACAAGGTTAGACCCTGGTCCAGGCCCCGGTCCAGGCCCCGGTCTGTAGTCCAGATTCTAGTCTGGCGGCACGGTGGCTGAGTGGATAGCACTCTCGCCTCTCAGCAAGAAGGTCCTGGGTTCGAATCCCGGTTGGACCAGGGCCTTTCTGAGTGGAGTTTGCATGTTCTCCCCGTGTCTGCGTAGGTTTCCTCCGGGTGCTCCGGTTTCCCCTACCACTAAAAATATGTACAATAGGTCTGACATGTGCCTCCTGTACTGGCACCCCCACTCCCAAAAATAACAATTGTAAACCGCTTTGAGACTCCGATGTGCAGTGAAAAGGCGGTATATAAATAAAGATTACTTACTACTTACTTACTAGTCCTGACCCTGGACACAGACAGATGCACGAACACACAGGGAGACCAGGAAGAGACCAAAGAGAGACTTGAGTGACTTGAGAGAAAGACCAGAGAAAGAGAGACCAGAGAGATCAGAAAGAGACCATAGAGAAGGACAAGAGAAAGAAAAAAACAATGACCTATCTTCTGTCCAGGATCCTAAGGAGCGGATGGGGTGCCAGGTCCAGACCGGGTTCACGGACATCAAGTCCCACACGTTCTTCCGCAGCATCGACTGGGAGCAGGTCAGTTCTTCATCATCATGGTCTTCATCATGGTCTTCATCATGGTCCTCCTCATGGTCTCCAGGTCCATGTCTCTGGGGACACGGCCATTATTTTGTAGAGGGACTAGAAAATGGACAGGACGTTTTGGTTCTGATGGACTAGACCAGAGAGAGACCAGAGAGAGAGACCAGAAAGAGACCAGAAGGAGACTAGAGAGAGACCAGAGCGAGACCAGAGAGGGACCAGAGAGAGCTGAGAACAGGATATCCAAGAGCTAAATAAATGTGGTTGTGTTGATGGTGTCACGTGTGTAACATAAATATTAACGAGTCTCATTCGTCTTTCGGTTCAAATGCGTCACACTCTGCTCCGTAATCACTGCAAACACACAGCACTGCGTCTGCTCTCTCTCTGGTCTCTCTCTTTGGTCTCGCTCTGGTCTCTCACTCTGGTTTCTCTCTCTGGTCTCTCTCTCTGGTCTCTCTCTCTTTTCTCTTTCTGTTCTCTTTCTCTGTGGTCTCTCTCTTTGGTCTCGCTCTGGTCTCTCTCTGGTTTCTCTCTGGTTTCTCTCTGGTCTCGCTCTGGTCTCTCTCTTTGGTCTCGCTCTGGTCTCTCACTCTGGTTTCTCTCTCTGGTCTCTCTCTCTTTTCTCTCTCTGTTCTCTTTCTCTGTGGTCTCTCTCTTTGGTCTCGCTCTGGTCTCTCTCTGGTTTCTCTCTGGTTTCTCTCTGGTCTCGGTCTGGTCTCTCTCTTTGGTCTTTCTGGTCTCGCTCTGGTCTCTCTCTGGTTTCTCTCTCTGGCTACTCCCTCTGGTCTCTCTCTGGTCTCTCTCTGGTCTCTCTCTGGTCTCTCTCTGGTCTCTCTCTTTGGTCTCTCTCTGGTCTCGCTCTGGTCTCTCTCTTTGGTCTCTCTCTCGCACAGCTACAGAAAATTCCCAAATGAAGACTTCAGTCTGTTTCAAATCTAAACTCTGAGTGAACTTGAGGAGCACGTTCCGCTCGCTCTCTGAATTGTTAAGCACCTTCCTCACCGCAGGAGGGTCCCCAGAGAGCCCCTCCCCCTCCTGAAAACCAGAACAATCCTGATCCGTCAGCAGAGATCCAAAAGAGAAAGATCCAAGACTTTTGTGGGTCTGGACCAAGATCAAGACCTCTTCTGTCGGTCTGGTCCGGGTCCAGGTTCAGATCAAAGTCCAGATCCAGTTCCAGGTTTTGTCGTTCAGTATGAGAGAGTTAGACGCATACACACTCTTCATGTGCTATTGAACATTTAACTACATACCAGAGAGAGAGACCAGAGAGAGACCAGAGAGAGAGACCAGAGAGAGACCAGAGAGACCAGAGAGAGACCAGAGAGACCAGAGAGAGACCAGAGAGAGAGACCAGAGAGAGACCAGAGAGAGACCAGAGAGAGACACCAGAGAGAGACCAGAGAGAGACCAGAGAGAGAGACCAGAGAGAGACCAGAGAGAGACCAGAGAGAGACCAGAGAGAGACCAGAGAGAGACCAGAGAGAGACCAGAGAGAGAACAGAGAGAGACCAGAGAGAGACTAGAGATAGACCAGAGAGAGAGACCAGAGAGAGACTAGAAAGAGACCAGAGAGAGAACAGAGAGAGACCAGAGAGAGACACCAGAGAGAGACAGACCAGAGAGAGAGACCAGAGAGAGACCAGAGAGAGACCAGAGAGAGAACAGAGATAGACCAGAGAGAGACCAGAGAGAGAGACCAGAGAGAGAGACCAGAGAGAGACTAGAGAGAGACCAGAGAGAGAACAGAGATAGACCAGAGAGAGACCAGAGAGAGAGATCAGAGAGAGAGACCAGAGAGAGAAAGTGTAGCGATAGAGCAGAATCTAAGGACAAGTTGTCTTTGTTGATTGGACCCTCTTCACTCTCCCTGGCTGCAGCAGAGATGGACTGGTTCCCTTTGGACTGGACTTAGGCTGGTCCCCCTGAGTCTGGGCTGGTCCCCCATGGACTGGACTTAGGCTGGTCCCCCTGGGTCCGGGCTGGTCCCCTGGGAGGGGCTGAGGTGAAAGGCGGTGTATAGCGTCAAACTGTAGCTAAACAATAGTCAGTGTTAATGAGAGCCGTGGGGAGCGTTTGATGTTGGCACCAAAGCAGCAGAGGCGGGTGGAGAGAATCAAAGGCCCTGCTCCTGTCTGCACCTGACGCACCATGAATATTCAGAGAGAGAGACTTCTGACGAGACCAGGGAGAGAGAGGCTTCTGACGAGACCAGGGAGAGAGAGGCTTCTGACGAGACCAGGGAGAGAGACTTCTGACGAGACCAGGGAGAGAGAGGCTTCTGACGAGACCAGGGAGAGAGAGACTTCTGACAGGACCAGGGAGAGAGAGGCTTCTGACGAGACCAGGGAGAGAGAGGCTTCTGACGAGACCAGGGAGAGAGACTTCTGACGAGACCAGGGAGAGAGAGGCTTCTGACGAGACCAGGGAGAGAGACTTCTGACGAGACCAGGGAGAGAGAGACTTCTGACGAGACCAGGGAGAGAGAGACTTCTGACGAGACCAGGGAGAGAGACTTCTGACAGGACCAGGGAGAGAGAGGCTTCTGACGAGACCAGGGAGAGAGAGGCTTCTGACGAGACCAGGGAGAGAGACTTCTGACGAGACCAGGGAGAGAGAGGCTTCTGACGAGACCAGAGAGAGAGAGACTTCTGACGAGACCAGGGAGAGAGAGGCTTCTGACGAGACCAGGGAGAGAGAGGCTTCTGACGAGACCAGGGAGAGAGAGACTTCTGACGAGACCAGGGAGAGAGAGGCTTCTGACGAGACCAGGGAGAGAGAGACTTCTGACGAGACCAGGGAGAGAGAGGCTTCTGACAGGACCAGGGAGAGAGAGGCTTCTGACGAGACCAGGGAGAGAGAGGCTTCTGAAGAGACCAGGGAGAGAGACTTCTGACGAGACCAGGGAGAGAGAGGCTTCTGACGAGACCAGAGAGAGAGACACTTCTGACGAGAGAAGGGAGAGAGAGGCTTCTGACGAGACCAGGGAGAGAGAGACTTCTGACGAGACCAGGGAGAGAGAGACTTCTGACGAGACCAGAGATGCCATTCAGATGGTATAGCTCCACATGAGAACACTCTTTTGTCACTCTCTGTTTCTCTCTCAGGTCTCTCTCTGGTCTCTCCAGTCTCTCCCTCTGGTCTCTCTCAGGTCTCTCTCTGGCCTCGCTCCAGTCTCTCCCTCTGGTCTCTCCCTGGTCTCTCTCACACACACACTGGTCCTATCACTGGAGCAACTGGTAACGATAGTCTTCCTGGTCTCTCCCCGTACGCTCCCCCCATGTTGAGCACCAGCTTTGATCAGTTCTACACAGGTCCCGGTCTCTGAGACTGGAGTGGCAGAAGCACGGCTCAGTGGGGGCTCAGTGGGGGCTCAGTGGGGGGTCTGAGGGGGTCTGAGGGAGGGTGGGGTGTGTGTTTGATACTAATGAAGGCATGTGAGCAGCAGGGGGCCCCGCGACGCACAAACACCCACCAAGTCTCTTGGCTTCTCAACATGTGGTTCTGCACCTGTTGTGTCTTCTGTTGCTTCAGAGAGAGACAAGAGAGAGAGAGACCAGGGCGAGACCAGAGAGAGACATGAGAGAGACCAGAACGAGACCAGAGAGAAGACCAGTTATGATTACAGGAATTACAATAATAACAAACATAGTAAGCAGGATCCTGGTGGTTTTATTGTGATATAGTTTTATAAATCCAGATGTGAGACATATAAGGCTTGACCAATCAGGAGCCTTCAATCCAATCTCCAGCTTGCCTTAGCAACCGTCCTAGCAACACGTCTGTATTAGCTACGACACAAAGCTAAAGAATGCCCATATAAGGAAAGTGGCTCCAGCTTATGTTAAAGTCAGCCTCTTCTGCATTGAGGCTAGCATGGTGGTGATGTCACACGGTGGTGATGTCACACGGTGGTGATGTCACACGGTGGTGATGTCACACGGTGGTGATGTCACACTTGTGTTTGTGTGTTTGCAGCTGGAGAAGAAGCAGGCCACGCCCCCCTTTGTGCCTCAGAGCTCAGACGACTTCGGCCTCGAGAACTTCGACACTCAGTTCACCAACGAACCAGTTCAACTGACGCCCGACGACCAGTGAGTCACACCCATGGTTAGAGACCAGAGGGAGACCGGAGGGAGACCAGAGGGAGACCAGAGGGAAACCAGAGGGAGAGACCAGAGAGAGAGACCAGAGAGAGACCAGAGAGAGAGACCAGAGAGAGACCAGAGAGAGAGACCAGAGGGAGACCAGAGGGAAACCAGAGGGAGAGACCAGAGAGAGAGACCAGAGAGAGACCAGAGAGAGAGACCAGAGAGAGACCAGAGAGAGAGACCAGAGGGAGACCAGAGGGAGACCAGAGAGAGACCAGCGAGAGAGACCAGAGGGAGACCAGAGCGAGACCAGAGGGAGACCAGAGCGAGACCAGAGGGAGACCAGAGAGAGACCAGAGGGAGACCAGAGCGAGACCAGAGAGAGAGACCATACGGAGACCAGTGGAAGATTAGAGTGAGACTAAAGAGAGACCAGAGGGAGACCAGAGAAGGACTAGAGGGAGACCAGTGGAAGATTAGAGAAAGACTAGAGAGAGACCGGAGGGAGAACAGAGAAAGACTAGAGGGAGACCAGAGAGACCAGAGAAAGACTAGAGGGAGACCAGAGAGAGTGAGTGAGTGAGGGACCAGAGAGCGGTACAAACAAGAGACCAGAGAGCGAGAGACTTCGTGGACTCTTCATGGTCTTCCCTCTCTCCTCAGGGACGCCATCCAGAGAATAGACCAGTCGGAGTTCGAGGGCTTCGACTACATCAACCCACTGCTGCAGTCCTCTGAGGAGATACGAGAATGAACCAGGGACCTCACCTGGTCCTCACCTGGACCTCACCTGGACCCTGGACAGTAGACACTGGACCTCAGACTCTTGGACTTTTGTAAAATTCCCCGGAGAATGTCCTCAGAATGTCTCCCAGGACTTTGATGGAGCTGGACATGCCCCTGATCGTCTCCTGCACTTTTGAGCTGGCTCCGTGCACAGAGGTAGAGACCAGAGAGAGACCAGAGAGAGACCAGAAAGAGACCAGGGAATCCACAGACCAGCAGACACCAGAGAGACACCAGAGAGAGTCCAGAGCAAGAGACACGAGAGAGTAGAGAGGGACCAGCGAGACCAAAGAGAGACCCTGGTCCTGCTCATCGAAGCAGAGACTGGAGCTGGTACCTGGAACTATAGTTATGACAAATGAGTAGAACCTGCATTCAGCCAAGTTATTCTGTTTTTGTCTCTCCCTCTCTCTGGTCTCCCTCTCTTCAGTCTCACTCTGGTCCCTCTCTCTGGTCTCTCTTTAGTGTCTCCCTATCAGGTACCTCTCTGGTCTCTCTCTCTCCTTCTCCAGTCCCACTCTGGTCTCTCTTTATGCCCTCTCTGCTCCTTCTCTCGCTCTCTCTTCCTCTGGTCCCTTTAGTCTCTCTCTGGTCTCTCTCTTTAGTCTCCCTCTGGTCTCTTCAGTCTCCCTCTGGTCCTTCACTGGTCTCTCCTATAGTGATAAAAAACCAAAAGACAGGAGCTTTGAGACGCCTCACAAGGGCAGGACCAGAATGACTCCTAACGAGGAGAGCGGTGTGGTCTGGACCTGGAGCCCGCCTCTGCGCACGGAGCCGCGTTCATGGCTTCTTTTTGTCTCACGCAAAACAAAGAATGTACTAGAACCTGTCGTACAAGTGTAATTTAAACGTGGAGCGAATGTCGCACTTTTCATTGTTTTTAGGATTGGTTTTAAATGTGTTGGATTCAGATTCCAGTGTTTTTGTCCGAAAAACTCAGACTAGTTTTTACTGTGGCGCCTGTGGATCCGCGGCTGTAGACACCACACACAGCTGCAAAGGGTTTCAAATGTACTCACTCTGACCATTTTAAAGCATTTTGTCCTCAAACATGACCAGCACGAGACTCGTCTGTCCTCGTTTTATACAAAGTGTTTTTACGTTCAGTGGAAAAACAGTTCAAACGACTTCGACTTCTGCACATTTTGTTCTGTTCACGACTGCAACAAAGTAACAGAGTCCTCTGCACACGGCACCATGTGTCCAGTTCCTGGTTCTGAACGCTTTACTAACACTAGTTTCTACAACATGGAATTATCGGCTCAGGTCTCTCTCTCTCGCTCTCCCTGGTCTCTTTTGCTGGCCTTTCCCCTGGTCTCTCTCTCTCTCTCGCTCTAGTCTTTCTCCCTGGTCTTTCTCCATGGTCTCTCTCTCTCTCTCGCTCTAGTCTTTCTCCCTGGTCTCTCTCTCGCTCTAGTCTTTCTCCCTGGTCTCTCTCTCGCTCTAGTCTTTCTCCCTGGTCTCTTTTTCTCTCTCTCTGGTCTTGCTCCAATTTCTCCCTGGTCTATATCTGGCCTTCCTGTTTCCTGCTCTCTCACTCTCCCTGGTCTCTCTCTTTATCTAGGGACTATCTCCATGGTCTTTCTCTCTCTCTCTGGTCTCTCTCCCTGGTCTTCCCCTGGTCTCTCTCGCTCTGGCCTTCCCCTGGTCTCTCTCGCTTTGGTCTTTCTTCCTGGTCTCTCTCGCTTTGGTCTTTCTTGCTTGTCTCTCTTGCTCTGGTTTTTGTTCTCTCTCTAGTCTCTCTCTTGTTTTGGTCTCTGTATCCACTTCTGATTGCACTCAGAACACACACACACACACACACACACACACACACACCGTCACCAGCCGATTATCACCAACTAAACACCATTTTACGTGTGGCTGCAGTGAAGGGTGAGTGTGGGCTCAGGGGGGAGGAGGGGGAGGCCTCGGGGGGGGAGGGGAGGGGGGGGCTTCCTCTGAGACTCTGTGAAGGTTCATTTGATAAGACTATAATGGGATTAATAATGAGACTAATACAGAGATGAATGAGGCCATCTGGAGTCAAAGGCCGAGGCTCCTGCTGTGAGGGAGGGAGGGGGGAGAAAGGGGGTGGATGGGGAGTAATGGAGCGGATCATCAGATACTTACCCTCTGCACCCCCTCCCTCCTCTCCCCCCTCAGCCCCTAACGAAACCCCTGTGCTGCTCTAGTCCCAGATAACATATTCAATTACTGAGACCGCAACGAACTGAAGATAGCTCACATTAAAGTTCACCTTAAAGCTCTTATTAAAGCTCACATTAAAGTTCACATTAAAGCTCGTTGTAACGACTGTTATCCTGTGTCGCTGGAGAACGAGGGGAACGGGTCCTGTACCTTTATGACGCGCTGCTAATGTGGATGAAGAACGCTACTCGTAACTGCGTTTTTTTAAGTGGCATTTAATCATCAGCTTTGAGGATTTAACACATAACACATTGGCCATACGTGTACGTGTACAAAACTTAACAAAAACAAACGGTCAACAAAGAAATACGGCTACCTAGATCCCTACGACTTCTCACCTGAACGCTGGTGTCTGCCATATTTAAAGTTCCCGGCATATCCCCAGAGCTCACGTGACTCACGCACCTCCCCTGACGTTACGCAACCCCACACATTATGGCTCTCACACACCAGCCCCTTAATTATTGCACAATAATTACCATCACAAAACCCAAAATCAAGAGACATAATGAGTCCATAATGTTTCACTTCAGAAACTTACGGAGTTCATGTCCTTAAAGTCCAACAAAGTACAGCAAAGCAGTCCAGAGTCACCCCCCCCCCCAAACCCCAAAACCAAAAAGTAATCCATCAAAAATCGGAAAAAAATCACAAAAAAATATGTTACAAGAATTTGGAATCTCCAAAAAAAAACGTTGGGGCCTAGTTACTGATGCGAATTGTCTCTAGGTAGCTTCGGCCTCCTGCAGGAGACACACCTTGGTAATTGGCCGATCCAAGCAACTGGTGCGTGTCTTAATCTTCACCTGGCGGACGAATCCCCTTTTGTCCGGGAAAGTTTGAATCACTCGACCCATCAGCCACGAGTTTCGAGGGAACAAGATCTCCTTCAGTGAGGTTTCGTTTGGCTCCTGTCCATTTCTGACGTTCCTGTAGCTGGGGTAGATACTCCTTCACCCATCTTTTCCAAAACAAGTCGGAGATGTACTGGACCTGCTTCCATCTTCTGTGTGCATACATATCTGACTCCTCAAACACTCCTGGTGGCAGCGCTGGCGAAGTCTTCAGTAGCAACAGATGATTGGGTGTCAGAGACTCAAGGTCATTCACATCCATAGAAGCTTTAGTGATAGGACGGCCATTGAGAATTGCTTCTGCCTCACAGAGCACAGTCTGCAGACCTTCCTCATCAAGATTTTGTACTTTCAAGGTGGAATTGAGCACTTTTCGCACTGATCTAATGAGCCGCTCCCAGGCTCCACCATGATGAGAGCCAGATGGAGGATTAAAGCTCCATTTTATTCCCTTCTGCAGCATGAACTTATTGATCTGACTCAGATTCCATTTCTCAATAGCATTCTTCAGCTCCCGCTCTGCTCCTACGAAGTTAGTCCCATTGTCTGAGCGAAGTTCTCTAACTTGACCTCGTCGAGCCATGAAGCGCCTGAGAGCATTGATGAAAGAGTCTGTATCCAACGATTGTGCCACTTCAATGTGGATGGCTCTGATTCCTAGGCAGGTAAAAATGACACCATACCTCTTCACTACACTTCGTCTGCTCTTAACCTCAAACGGCCCAAAATAATCAACGCCCACACGAGTGAACGGAGGCTCATCTGGAATGATCCTCTCATGGGGCAAGTCTGCCATCTGCTGGGAAACTGGCCGTGCATGCAATCGCCGACAAACTACGCATCTTGAGAGCACCTTTCTTATTGCAGTAGTCGCTCCAGTTATCCAATATCTCTCTCTCAACTTTGAGAGCATGTGGTTCCGACCACCATGTCCAACCTCCTGGTGTATTTGCCTCAAGAGCAGTTCGGACACATGGAGATCTTTTGACAATATAACTGGATGTTTCAACTCTGCCGGCATTTCAAGTCTCCTAGCCGCCCACCAACCCTCAGGATACCTTCTACCAATTGTGGGTTGAGTTTACGGAGATGGCTGGATGAACTTACTGGCTGGCCTTTCTCCAAATGACACAATAGACCACAGCATTCTACTGCAGAGGCTAGAATGTGATATAGGTCTTAGAGGAACAGCCCTTGGCTGGTTTAAATCCGATTTATCAGATCGATATCACTTCGTCAATGTGAATCAGGACTCGTCGCCTTATTCTGGAGTGGAATTCGGTGTGCCGCAGGGTTCGGTACTCGGACCGATTCTTTTTACTCTCTACATGCTGCCACTGGGAAACATTATTAAAAAGCATGGAATTAATTTCCACTGCTATGCAGATGACACACAGCTTTATCTGTCGATGAAGCCTAATCAGACAGATCAGCTAGAAAAGCTCAGTGCCTGCATAAAGGACCTTAAAATGTGGATGACTCTTAACTTCCTACTTCTCAACCCGGAGAAGACAGAAGTGATCCTACTCGGTCCGAAGCGCCTGCGTGACTCCCTCACTAACCAGATGGTTACTCTCGATAATGTCAGTATAATACCCAGTAACACTGTGAGGAATCTTGGAGTCATTTTTGACCAAGAACTCTCCTTCAAGGCTTATATAAGCCAAGCAACTAAAACGGCGTACTTCCACTTACGGAACATCGCTAAAATTAGGAATTTCCTTCCTAAAAGTGACGCGGAAAAACTCATTCACGCGTTTGTCACCTCAAGGCTCGACTACTGTAACGCTTTACTGGCAGCGTGCCCTAAAGCCTCTTTGAAGAGCTTCCAGCTCGTTCAGAATACAGCAGCTAGGATCTTAACAGGTACCAAAAGGAGGGAGCACATAACTCCGGTGTTAAAATCACTCCACTGGCTCCCTGT